TAAGCATTGAATTGAATTATCAATTCACAACACCTTAATAACTTAATTATGTATATATGAACATATTTAGTTTTAAATGACTTCTCCCTTTTTTTAAAAAAAAAAATAGAAAAAAGAAAAAGAAGAGGAAGTTAAGGAACCTTTGATTGTTTTTTGAATATTGAGTTATCAGTGTTTGATTGTTTTTTGTTTTTATTTGTTATTTCTTCTTATTTTTGTTTTCCATCGCTTTCACAATTATATTTGTTTTATTCCCAACCTGAGAAAATGATTCCACCTCTTTCTCAAGTTAATTTTAAGTCTCTTAGAGTGCTTCACATTTCCAACAACCTTACCAATTTCATGCATTTTAGATTTCGGAGAATATTTGGATAGAGAGTACAAAGTAAACATGCAAGATAATTTTATGGTCCCATGCCAAAAAAATTGGGTGAGATCCTTTTTCACACCATAGTTCATTAATATAGTTTTTTAATCTTATTTTATAGGCAAATAAGTGTCATACTACATCTAACCGTGCTCATTGTTCACACGTGTATGTGAAGTGAACTATCAGATGTAATACAAGTTATACAATATGTTACGTTAATTATGGTTTTTTTTTAATCTTATTTTATTGGATAAACTGCATTTAACCCGTTGACTTGTAGGGTTTGGAATAAATCTTTTTACTAATTTCCTTTTGTTAAAAAAATAATAATAATCTCTCAACTAACGAGGTGGGTTATTTTTTGACTTTTTGCCTAAAACACCCCTACCAAGTCAAGCTCCAGTTTCATGCCATTCATCTAACTACGTGAATATTTGGATAGAGAGTACAAATGTAATACAAATTATACAATATGTTACATTCATTATGTTTTTTTTTTTAATCTTATTTTATTGGGTAAACTACATTTAACCCCGTTGACTTGTAGGGTTTGCAATAAATCTTTTTATTAATTTCCTTTTGTTAAAAAAAAAAAAATTCTCTCAACTAATGAGGTGGGTTATTTTTTGACTTTTCGCCGTGTCTTGTTTTATGCAATTCATCTAACTATGTCCCCCTATGAAGCATGGACACGGATACGGGACACGGGTACGACACGACAAATTTTAAAAAAAATAGGACACGGACACGGCGGGAATACGCATATATATATATATATATATATATATATATATATATATATATATATATAAATTTATATTGAAAATATAATTACTAGAATCTTGTACAGATAAATAAAACAACAACAAAGAATATAATCAATTTCAATAATTTCATCTCTGTTATAAGAAAAAAAAATAGATAAGACAAAACAGAAAATAAATGAAAAATAAAGTTAATCCAAATTCCAAACGAAGATGTGCAAAAGAGACATAACTATAATGAACTAAATATGTATATGAATAAACATATATACTTTCAGTCTTTCACAAAGTTTTGTTCATGTAACCTAAATATATATATATGTTGTTCATAAAGATAGATAATTGAAGAAGATGAGAGACTGAGAGAGGAGTGAGAGAAAATAAATTTTGTCTCACAGAAGTGTCGGATCGTGTGTCCGAGCTTCGGACACGTGTGTCTAATAAAAAATAATATTTGGACACTTTACAGAAGTGTCGGACATGTGTCCGAGCCTCGGACACGGGTGTCGGTATCCGAAAAGTGTCCGACACTGGTACGGGACCCCTGGGAGGAGTGTCCGTGACCCCCCCCCCCCCCCCCTAATGTGTGAATTTAGTTTTTTCCTTTTCTTTTTTTTCTTTATTAAAAAATAATATTTGAACTCAAATATTTTTGTTATATGTATTACTATACTTTTAATTAAAGAAAGATTTTTAAATTTTTATTATTAAAAAAGTCATTGTAATGACTGCAATTGCATATAAATTTAAATCTTATATATTATATATACTATTATTGTATTATTTATATTATATTTTTTTATTTTATACAATACATATTTATATATATAAACACATATATATGAGATGGACATTCGATAAAATAATTAGATGGATAAAATTAAATTTTAATTACAAAAAATAAATTAATGGCATAAAATAATAGACTTTTCTCTCATTTTGTTTGATTAAATAAAAAAATAATTATTCAAATTTAAAGGACGTCAGTGTAATTTTTTTTAAATTTTTTTTTAACTTAGCTTTTATTCTTTATAATTTTACATAATAGATGGATAGCAAGAAAATGAAATCTCATATCCTGTGGTCGTGGACTCCCCCGTGATACTCACGATAGGTTGCTTTCTAAGTCAACAAGTCTTTAATGTCATCTGCTTTTTAAAATTGATGTGTCCATTAAGTGTCATCACTGGCACTGTGCAATAACTTCTCACATTGGATTATTGGAAGACTTTATGTCAAGTCATCAAGCATTACCTGCATAACCATCCATGTGGGTCCATTATCACATGGACATCAGACTATTGGCGTGGTCAATTGCATTATCATCATATAGTCCGTAGAATGATCTCGGGATCATATAATAATTTTCCATCTAAGTGGATCAAAAGTATTAAATGAATCTTTTGCTCAATGGAAGGTTCCAGATGGTAATAAGTGGTCTAAAAGTATTCGGTAAAAGTTTCTATCTTGACACCACCAAAATATAGACTAAGTTGCTATGATTTCTAACGCCATGTAAAATATTGTGGTGTATGTGTTTTATAATACTCATAATTGATTAAATTTTCATAAGAAACTTTCATCAATTATCTAATACCTAACCAATCTTGAAATCAAAATATAACTTTTTTATTTATTTATTTTTTGTTTTCAACTCCAAGTAAGTGGTTCAATTAGTAATTTTTTGGCCCTGAAGTCTCTTGAAATATCAGGTCGGCCACTTCCGCATATAAAAGTTTGAACTTTACTCGACTTGTAGCTTCACTTTAGAATTATGCAATTTAGCTTTAAATTTGTTTGTCGTGATTTTTATAACGACATGTTAACATGTAGAGCCAGAAATATTCATATGAAGAAGCCAAATTAACTACTATTATTATTTTTAATTTTTCTTTTCCACAGGCAATATAATTTCTTTAAAATATGGCAATTAATTAAACAACTTAAGGGGCCTTAATTTAAGTGTAAATTAGTTTTGGGAACCAAAATTAGATGCCCACTTAATTATTTTTTATTTTTCCTAGCAAATTAGGAAGATGAGAGATTTTAATACAAACACACTCGTTTAGGGAACTGAAGTCTCTACCAATTAGCTATTGAGGAATGCCCTGTAAGCCCCTTAATTAGTGAACTAAGAACACCTAATTATATTTTTGTGAAATTGGTGATTGGTAGACAGTTTCGGTTGATTAAAGTTTTGTGGGTGGTTTAAGCATCTTCATTTTCAAATGGGCCCAAATTATACTTTTCTAGTCAATGACATGGAGAGAGAGAGAGAGAGAGAGAGAGAGAGTTATCCTAGGTGGTCCTATTTTCCTTTTGTTTTTATTTTTTATTTCTTATCAATTTCTTAAAATTTTAATTTTCCTTTATGTGCCTGGGACTCCTAGTTATATATATATATGTATGTAGGTATGTAGGTATGTGAGTACCAAATAATTTTACAACTTCAACTCCTTAAAGTTTTCAAAATTGCTAATTAAGTATTGAAGTTAGTAATGTGTAATTTATAGTTTACAAAAAATTCATCTGAAATAATAATAATAAATAAAGCAAAGAAAGATAATAAGAAAAATGTTATAAAAACAGTTTTTTGACTTAAATGATTATAATAAAAAAGTTGAATATAGTTAATTAACTTAATTGTGGTTGCATCCATATATAATTAAGTACTTGATTCATCTTCTATATTATATTTGATATTCTCTTTGTATCTTCCTACTTTTAAAATTTTTTATTTTATTTTATTCTAATGTTGGTGTTGTAAGTCAAGTCTTCATTCAAAGTCTTTTGATCATTCTCAGCCTCAAAAACAGGAAAATGACACTACCCAGGCAAGTGGAAAGCATTACTAAAAATCACACTTCCATGTGGAAAAAAGTTGATACTTCCATCTTCATTTCTTGTTTTCAAATATAATTCTGATGAACTTCTCATATGGTGCTACTTAGTTGAGTCTAATAATGTCAAGCAACTTCAATATATTTCTCTTTGTTCTTTTTCTAATTTTTACATTTAATGAAATCAAAATCAAAGAAAACTTAGTGGCTATATGTTAACTAATTTTTGTTTTCACCGACAAGTTTATTGACTACATTATTTGATCGGTTTAATTTCAATGGTAATTGCTTGCTAAAAGTGATGATAGTGCAATTGATTATGAAAGGTGTTCACAAGCATATAATAAGTTTTCGAATTTGAGATGCGCAACAACTTGTGTCATTGTCACTTTGGAATTGTGCAATAAGCCTTCTCATTGGAAGACTCCAAGTCAAGTCAATGAAGTTATTGGACAAAACCATATGGGGAGAAATTAATTATTAGATAATTTTGGTTCATTTGATACTTTGTTGACTAATTTAATAAAAGTTAATATTGAGATTTCTTTATAATTTAGTTGTGGTTCTATTTTCATTTTGTTTTTATTTGTTATTTCTTGTTAAATTTTTGATATTTTTATTTCTCTTTATGTATCTGAAATACCTGTCATATATATTATACACACACACTTTGAGTACCAAATAATTTTACAGCTTCAACTCCTCAAAGTTTTCAAAATTGCTAATTAAGTACTGAATTTAGTAATGTTTAATTTACGGTTTACAAAACAACTCCTCTAAAATAATTATAATAAATAAAGCAAAAAAAGATAGTAAGAAAAAAGTTATACAAACAAATTTTTGACTTGAATGATTATAATAAAAAAGGTTAAATATAGTTAATTATAATTGCATCCATATATAATTAAGTACTTAAAGTTAAACAGATTATGTTTTTGTATCTTATTATCTTTTTTATTGTTATTTAATGATTTTTTTACGCTAACGTTGATGTTATAAGTCAAGTTTTATAAGACTAGTGGTCATTCTCAGCCCCATACTCAGACAAGTGGAACTTTTAGAAAATAAAAAAATCCATGTTTAATTTCTGTTATTCAAGACTTTGGTTTTGCAATTGGCGTTGACAATGAAATGAGTGAACAGTATCCCAAGTCAAATTGGATGGATCCATTATCGTGGCAGGAAGTTTGTGGTGGGCAGTTGATCTTCATTTCTACATGGGCCCCACCCATTGGTAAAAGATCCAGAAATGAAGGTATATACAGTGTGTATATATATAATGTCTGAGTTTTCTTTTACATATATGATCAACGAATTTGATATCATAAATTTGTAATCAGATAGAATTGAAGATGATGATGATGAGGAGCCGCATAGCGCTTGTCACGCTTTGGCTGCTATCATTCTCAACTGCCCTATTATTATTATGTGATGGTACTTCACATGGAGTTTGCAGTGAAAAAGAAAAAACAGCTCTTCTCAATTTCAAACAAGGTATCAGTTGGGATCCTTCCAACAGGCTATCCTCATGGTCTGGACTCCAACAAGATTGTTGTACTTGGACTGGAGTCCGCTGCAACAATGTTACTGGTCGAGTCATCCAGCTTCACCTCTCCAATCCATACAATCACTTTGATAATTGAAGCACCACAATTCCATATAAAAATTCATTTCCGGACCGGATAAGAAAAGATTTAAATTTTCAGCAATTAGCTTGCAAATTCAAAAATTCATAACTAATTCATTTTAAATCCAAATTACATGAAACCAAAACTAAATGGAAGCTAATTGATTATATTTTCATGTTATATATTTAATTTGACAAGATTTATTTCAAGTTAAAACAGTTTAAGGGCAGAATACAACTCATTCTCTTCTGTGCATGTAAAACACTCAATAATGACATAAAAATACTTCAAAATAATAGATCAATACCTCACTAGAGAATTGAATCTCTAGATACCAAAGCAAAATTAGGAGTTAGGCTAGAACCTTCAAAGGTTTTGAAGAGGAGGATGAGGGGAACAAAAAGTATTCCAAGCTTTATGGTCTAAAATAAGTGGAAGGGCCTCAAAGATCAAGGTCAATGCCTAAAGTTTCAAGCTTCATCCATGGAGGCTAGGGCTTTGTGGTGAGGAAGAAAGAGATTAAATGTGAAAATGTGTGAGTGGAGGAAATAGAAATCCTCCACTCACTATGTGATCCTACACCACGATCAACACACACATCTATGGCCAATTGCACAAAAACTCTCCTTTAAAACCATAATCCCAAAGTGGCCCAAAGATATTTGCAAGACTAAATTGTGAACCTACACTTGTTACCAATCCATGGCTCCTTCCTAGGCTTAATCCCACACCTACACTTGTCAACCATCTAAGCCAACAAGTGCACCAATCCTAGGCTAACAAGAGGGTGAATCCTCACCCTCTAAATGTCATCATCCAATGCATCAAAGTGTTTCCACACAAATGTCAACAAGTGGACCAATGAGAGTGTGACATTTGTCACAATTTTCAAAAATTGCAAAAAGGCTTTTTTGAAAATATCTTCTAAATTTAATTGCAAAATGGTCCCCAAGATGTAAAATAATTACTTTATTTAATTACACTAAAACCCCACAAGTTAAGAAGAATTACACTAAAGTATGCATTAATGCCCCTTTATGAAGGAAGTAAGCAATCAACATGCTTTTATAGAAAAGTAAAAATACCACTATCATGGAAATCAAATATCATGAATGCATGCAAAACCGGAATCAAATCCGAGCACAAAAAGTGAGGTTGTGAAAGGAAAAAGGATAAACGAGAAAAAGACAAAATGTGAATAGTGTTCGGAAAAAAATAAAATATGGAAATGACACAATCCCCAAAGAAAGTTGTTAATCCAAGGAAAAGAGCCTCGAAAATCATTCCAGAGCACTCGAGACGACATCAAGTGATGAAAAACTGAACCCAAAAAGGAAAAGACAACGGAAAAAAAATTATCCGTGAAAATCCGGGTTATTACAACCTTCCCACCTTAAAGGGATTTCGTCCCCGAAATCCAGCCCCAACCAACAAAAGGCGAAACCAAGATAACTACAGAGTACATCTCCGAGTATCCCACACAACATGCCACACTAGTGACCTCAAAGCTGAAAGGAACATACAAACCAGTGTCATTTGCACCCACGTGCTCATGACAAGACGACCTCTCAAAGGAAAAGTGACCACATGGCCACACGACAAGTCTGAACTTACACACAGAACCTAAGGTCAAACAAAAGAATGGAAAACAACAACCATAAGCATTCCTCCTGATGAACCTCCAAACCGATCCATAAACAACCACCAATTGAACTCCAAGATCATCACAAATCAAATCAAAGTACCGAACAAAGACGACATGGCAGTATGAATAGCGACCAGAACCCGCCCATGACGTACTCAAATGTGTGGTAGCAATGACAGTGCTTAGTGCTCGCCCACACTTATTCGTCAGTAAGGTAGCATCGACGGCAACTAGTACTCGCCCACAACACACAACTTCGTACGATAGTATGACAGTATAAGGCACTAATTCATAACCTACCCCCCACTAGGTCTATCCATGAAACCTCTCAATACCAATGACATCAATGTCACAAAACGATCATAGCCAAAAGCAATATGGGAACTAGGCATCTGTGAGAGTTAGAATATGGTCCAAAGATGTTCTGGGCCAACTCGACCAATCCCAAACTCTGACAACAATGTTATAGGCACCATTATGTTTAAGGCTCCAAATCCTCAATACAACAAAACCGACTACTCTAATGTCTCAAAATGCTACTACCAACAACATCAATCGAGAATCCAAAGCCTGAGAAGCGAATCAAGACCTCCAAAAATTAAAACGAAACTCACTACAAGACATTTCATCGAAAGTCCTACATTTCTCCCTGAAACAGATCAACTACATGACCAATCACCATGATCAAACATCAGATCCACAACCTTATCACGGATAACTAAATCCTCAAAATACAAGTCCACTAAGTGGCACTCACATCAAAATGCCAACAACCAAGGTCACAAAATGAATCTCTCAAAACCGTGCTTGGCATTACCAAGCTAAATCAAAATTCCTCAATTTCAATCCAAGAACCATCACTGGAACAACAATTCCTCAAAACTATGCCTAGTCATAACTAGGATGAGAAAACTCCTCAACAAGCCATATCTAACAGTGATCCTCCAAAACTCTTCCTAAGAGTCAACCACATCAAGGCCTCCAAAATGAAAACAAGTCTCCGAAAGACATTCTCAAAAGTGCATCGAGCTCACCTCACAAATCAAACAAATCCTCAATGATATGGACATAAGTCCCCGAAAAAGAATCTCACATCAATCAACTCACTTTGAGCACCACAACCATCAATAACCACGGCAGGAACTCCCCAAGAGAAGACACGAAAGAAAGGGGACCACTAGTCCTAAAAAGGACAACACCATGACTCCATCTCTGAAATGAAAGACAATAAGGTCAAAGACTTCACCCCCTACATGGAAGTAAGTCGACCAAAATCTATCAAATCCTCACCAAGGACTCAAGACAATAACGATGATCCTCATGGACCGACCAACCCCAAAACAGTGCATAACGCAACGGAGGGAAGAGACTCACTCCTTGTGAAGTCCTTAACACGAACCAACACAAAACCATTGTGGAAACCCGCATATAGGCTACGTACGACCAAGGGAAACGAATGGGAAAACCAAACCTGGAAGTCATGCATATGACAAGGAATGCAACTACCAGAAAGAAAATCTACTCACATAGATGAAAATCAAAAGCACATACTGCACGTCTCCACATAAACACAAAAACATGTCATTAAAGCGCAGTAACAACATGGCATCTCGAAGCATATAAGAAAGGCATGTTATCGCCACACAACAAGAAGAAAAATGTGGATAGACCTCCACCTACTCATGCATCACAATATCATAAATCATACTACTAACATGGTAGTAAATGAAACTGCAGAAAACAAAAGTGATGCAACAATGAACCCTATGGACATCGTGTCCTGGAGTGCCTAGGTAAAAAGGAAGGACCAGTCCTAGCCATACACTGACTCCAAAAACCAATGCAACAACAACCTGTCTCAAAACAAATGTGAGCCCTTACCACAATGGTAAGACTCTTACAATCCATCTCTGAATCTAAAGGTGACACTACAAGTGACACTAACAATGCAATGCTCTCTCTACCCGAAGCATCTATCAATCGACTTGATCCTAAAAGCGTCATTGCGTAAAGAGAACTCAAAGAAAATGGCAACTATAGCCATACCAACAACAACCAAATCAATCACCACGAATGATCTCCAAAACAACCATCATCATCACCGATCAAAGTACAACGCTTATCAAAACAAAACCAACACTGATTCCATCCGAATTACGCTTGTAGCTAGCCAGCACGGTAGCATGACAATGCCATGCACCTGCCCACAAACGTACCCGCCCACGAAAAATGCAAGTTCTAGAGGAATTTTTCTGGACAATCAAGGTACCTAAGAGGTCCATAACCTCATAATGGCCCAAAACCAACAAATCCACCATTACGGTAATGCCAAATGACTCATCTCACAAGAGTCTAAACAAAAGATGACCATCCACCCACCTCAAAACCATTACTAGGTCGACAATAACCTATACTACCACGAAACTGTGACTACAATCACCATCAACGTCAACTCGTGCCTCAATGACCAATCACATGTCATGCCAAATGTGCATCACAATTATGCATATACAATTCTAATCTAGCATACGTCACATGTCATACTCTTTACATTACAATAAAACAATGCTAAACAAACGGCATACAACATATAGCACGTAAGCACATAAACATATTATCAACCAAAACATGTTATCACAAAGTATATAAACACATAGAGCATGGCAATAAAAGCATGATATGCACCCAAACCCGTCGTCTTAAAGTTTTCGAACCTAGGAGCTCTAATACCACCTGTGACGACCCTAGATTTTTTAACCCAGTGTGTCCTGTGATGAACCGAAAGAATGACCTGATAACGGATCCGAAATGCGAAAACGAAGGAAACTAAGTGGCCACTAGAGATGTACGTCATCCCAATGACTCCCCATGGCATGATCAAATTGCATTATATTCTATTGTGTGATGATGTGAACATACACGCAAGTGTAAAATGGTATTTTAAACATGCTACAATGGCCCATGGCCTTATTACAACTCATTTACAACATTTAACATGTCAGACCTCCAAGTTAGAAAAATTACATTTCATAGACAAATGATGAACATGCTAACACTTGCATGTGAACAAGAATGTTTCTAAAGAAGCTCAACTCAGCAAATCACCCAAGTAATTGCAATATCCAATCTTGTATCCTGTACCTGAAATATGCCCCAGTATCGTAGGGGTGAGTAACATAAAGCTACTCGTAGGAAATGAGCATGCATCGACCTACGTTTTACAAGTGTACATGATTTAATCATTGTGGTTCATTCCACCTAACGTCTATGTCAAATGTGAGACTTAGGGAGCATCCTAGCCACCTAAGATCATTTCTAGCATAAAACACATCCTTTATGCAATTTCAACAACACAAGAGCATGCTACACATAGCAACAAGATATAACTTGCTTACACAAAGCAACTAGTTAGAAACATGCTTACACAAAGCAACTAGATATAGATTCTCAAAGTTATCAACTTGAAATCTAAATGCTAAATCAACTAAATATAGCAATTTAGTATGGATGTACTTAACAACATCAAATCGCCAATAGCCAAAACCACAGTCACAATATAAACATGATTGATAACTTGGAATTGAATGCGAAAACAAATAACAGAAGACTTGGACATCACGTCTCGGACTAAACTAAGAACAAATTGGTTATTCCGGGCATTAACCCACTGGGAAGACCACCCTAGTGCACACTGTCTCAATTGGGGAGAACTCATACCTCCCGCACTAAAGCTGAACTTTAGTCATATCACAGTAACAATGTCCCAAGACTCCAAAATAATCAAATAAGTTCACAACTTATACGTAATTTATATAATGCATTAAGTCACTTTCCATGCACAAGTAGATTGTATCCACACAACACATGCTCTAAATCCACAACTACTATAGGATGACAATGTCGAATCTTTGAAATGCGATTTGTTACACGCTATAACAATATAATCCAATATTGAAAACATAAACTCATAAATTCATTATAAGTCAAAAGTCATGCTTTAAACATACTATCAATGTCAAATACATGAGTTAATCAATAATACCATAGAAACGAAATTTAATCTATAAACTAATTAAATTCCCTAGGTTTCAAATCTCAATCAAATGGCATTCAATTAATACATGATAAACAATATAGCATGGTCATTACATACACCACATCAAAACTCGATTAGGCCATAAGAATAATAAAGTGAAATTTAATTAAATCATAATAATCAAATCTCTAACTTTTAAAACAACATCAAATGGTTCCAAATTAACATATGTTAGAACATAAGTCATAGTTATCACAAATATCAAGTTAAACACTTAATTAGGCCAATGGAACCCTTAATTAGATTTTAATTAATCATTTTAATTAAAATCTTTATATTTTCATACTTGTCCAAATGTTCTCAAATTAAAGTATGTTAAACAACATACCAAGACATAATTTAAAAGCATATCACGAGTCAATTTCTTGCAAGGTATGGCCATGGGATTTAATCTTTCACAAACGATAAATATTAAATAAAATATGCAATTTTTATTCAATCAATACCAATTTAATATATGTTAACAAATATATTAAAACATGATTTTCTAGCATGCCACAATTCAAATCAAAGTTATATATCACCATGAATTTTAAATCTTATACAAAGAAATAAAAATTACCAACTTTCTAAATTTGATACAAGGCATACATATAAGTTGTATAATCATGAGAAACACTCAATACAACACATATAAATCCTAAACATTTCCTACCTCAATTGGAATGAAAATCCCAATTACCACCGAAATGAAATCGCCCTAAATTTTTGGTCCGCAAGACAGATATTTTAGCTTGTTACCTTCAACTTGGGAAATTCATAAAAAATTCAATTCTAATCCAAATTGAATGAATCCAAAGCCTAATGAAAGCTTAAACACTGTAAATTGATAATATCAATTTAGTTTAACAAAATATTTTTCCAATTGAAACAGTTTTAACCCACAACTTTGAAACAAATTCTGCCCAGAAAACACATTTTCAGCCTGTAGCTTCTAACTTTGAAAATTCATGAAAAATTCATTTGACATCCAAATTGGGCAAACCTAATTTATTTTGGAATTAAACATATGAGAGTGTAAAACTGGAAATTTAAGCCATGATCCAATGTCAAAAGGTTAATGAAATAAATCATCTAAAAATATGTTTTCCAGCTGCAATAAAAACATGGACAGCAGATAGTCTCGGATTTTTTAAAAAAATTAGAAATGCTCTAAAATCGTGAAAATAGTCTGAGCAGTGTAAAATCCATGGGGAAAGTTCCAGTAAAAATTTCAAAGTAATTGAAGCACCACAGCTCAATATAAAATTCGTTTCCGGACTAGATAAGAAAAGATTTAAATTTCCAGCAACTAGCTTGCAACTTCAAAAATTCATAACTAATTTATTTTAAATCCAAATTACATGAAACCAAAACTAAATGGAAGCTAATTGATTATATTTTCATGTTATATATTTAATTTGACAAGATTTATTTCAAGTTAAAACAGTTTAAGGGCAGAATACAAGTCATTTTCTTCTGTGCATGTAAAACACTCAATAATGACATAAAAATACTTCAAAATAATAGATCAATACCTCACTAGAGAATTGAATCTTTAGATACCAAAGCAAAATTAGGAGTTAGGATAGATCCTTCAAGGGTTTTGAAGAGGAGGATGAGGGGAACAAAAAATATTTCAAGCTTTATGGTCTAAAGAAAGTGGAAGGGCCTCAAAGATCAAGGTCAATGCCTAAAGCTTCAAGCTTCCTCCATGGAGGCTAGGGTTTTGTGGTGAGGAAGAAAGAGATTAAATGTGAAAATGTGTGAGTGGAGGAAATAGAAATCCTCCACTCACTATGTGATCATACACCATGGTCAACACACACATCTATGGCCAATTGCATAAAAACCCTCCTTTAAAACCATAATCCCAAAGTGGCCCAAAGATATTTGTAAGGCTAAATTGTGAACCTACACTTGTTACCAATCCATGGCTCCTTCCTAGGCTTAATCCCACACCTACACTTGTCAACCATCCAAGCCAACAAGTGCACCAATCCTAGGCCAACAAGTGGGTGAATCCTCACCCTCCAAATATCATCATCCAATGCATCAAAATGTTTCCACACAAATGTCAACAAGTGGACCAATGAAAGTGTGACACTTGTCACACTTTTCAAAAATTACAAAAAGGTCCTTTTTGAAAATATCTTCCAAATTTGATTGCAAAATGGTCCCCAAGATGAAAAATAATTACTTTATTTAATTACACTAAAACCCCATAAGTTAAGAAGAATTACACTAAAGTATGCATTAATGCCCCTTTATGAAGGAAGTAAGCAATCAACATACTTTTCTAGAAAAGTAAAAAATACCACTATCATGGAAATCAAATATCATGAATGCATGCAAAACTGGAATCAAATCCAAGCACATAAAGTGAGGTTGTGAAAAGAAAAAGGATAAACGAGAAAAAGACAAAATGTGAATAGTGTTCAGAAAAAAATAAAATATGGAAATGACACAATCCCCAAAGGAAGTTGTCAATCCAAGGAAAAGAGTCTCGGAAATCATTTCAGAGTACTCGAGACGACATCAAGTGATGAAAAATCGAACCCAAAAAGGACAAGACAACGGAAAAAAATTATCCGTGAAAATCCAGGTTATTACAACTTTTGTGGTGAAAAATGGCATATAAAGTATAAGTGTCAGAAATGAAAAATTGAACTAGGAAAGAAATTGAAAAATCTAGAGAGTTCAAATTTGAAGAAGAAAAGGATTAGGACTATTGAGCCTTGTGACACTTTATCTAGAACAATAAGGAAATCATTGCATAATGAATCTAAAATTGTTTGGGTAAAGAAAGGGAATTTTAAATGTCTTGCTATGCACACTGCACTTAGAGCATTTGGTCCATGTGGTTGGTACTTTGATGGTGGTTGCTCTAGGCATATGACAGGGGATAGAATATTGTTTACCACTTTTAAGGAATGCTGAGTTGGTACTATTACTTTTGGTGATGGTAATACTTCTACTGTAAGTGGTAAAGGTAAAATCAAATTTTCAAGAATTGGGAAGTTAAAGAATGTTCTATATGTTAAAGGTTTAGCCGTGAATCTGTTGAGTATTAGACAAATCTGTGATGAGGAGTTTCAAGTCAATTTTACTCAACAATGGTGTTTCGTAATTAATGAAAAAGGTGAATGTATCTTGAAAGGAACTAGAATTTCTGATAATTGTTATGTTGTGTTTTTAGATCCCTCACTGATGTGTTTTTCTGCAGTTATTGATGAGGCAGTTTAATGGCATAAAAAACTTGGACATGTGGATTTTAATGATTTAGTGAATTTGTCTAATAATGATCTTATTCGAGGTTTGCCTAAATTGAAAATGCCTAAGAAAGAAATATGTGATCCATGTCAATTAAGGAAACAAACTAGAGTGTCATATAAGATATTTATTCATGAAGTCACTTCTCGACCTTTAGAATTTATACATATGGATTTAATGGGTCGTTTAACACCTGATAGCATTGAAGGAAAAAGATATATGCTTGTTATGATTGATGATTTTTCTAGATTTACTTTTGTTGCATATTTGAGAGAAAAATCTGATACTTTTGTGAATTTCAAATCTATTTGCCAACTTATTCAAAATGAGAAGGGATATCGAATTAATCGGATTAGGAGCGACAATAGAGGTGAATTCGAACCTAAGGAGTTTATTGATTATTGTGATAAGTATGACATTAAGCATGAATTTTCAGCACCTAAAACATCACAACAGAATGGTTTAGTTGAAAGGAAAAGTAAGACAATTGCAGGTATGACTCGTACTATGCTTCATAAGAATAAAATTGCTAGTCACTTTTGGGCTGAATCAGTACATACTGCTTGTCACATCCTAAATAGAGTTTATCTTAGGCCTGGAACCAAAAAGACTTCATATGAATTGCGGTATGATAGAAAGCCCACTGTTAAATACTTTAAAGTCTTTGGAAGTAAATGTTATATCCTTAGAGATAGGGAACACTTGGGAGAATTCGACTCTAAAAGTGATGAAGATGTGTTTTTAGGTTATTCACAAACAAGTTGGGTTTATAGGATTTGTAATCTTAGAACCAAAGTGGTCACGGAGTCTATAAATGTTGTATTTGATGATACAAAGTCTAAGATAACCTCTTTTTAACTTGATGAAGAAGAAATTGATTTTAAAATTACAGGAGAAAGAATAAAACTTATAATTCATGAGGAAGAAAGAGTTGAGAATTTAGGTGGAGAAGGTGAAGAGGTCGAAGAAGATGAGGTTGACGAATTAGAGGTTACCATTAATGAACATATAGGAATTCCTGCACCATCTCTAGATATTCCCGCATCTAGTAGTTCTAAGATTCGAACGAGTTATCCAGTTAATAATGTGATAGGTCCATAGGATAAGCCGGGTACTACGAGTACAGTCCGTGATCATTTAGGACACTCATGCATTGTAGATGACATAGGACATTCATATCATGGCTCAGTTTGAACCAAAGAATGTTGATGAAGCTCTTCAAAGTTCTGATTGGCTTATGGCTATGCAAGAAGAATTGTTTCAATTTGTGAAGAATGATGTTTAGGAATTAGTACCTCGACCTAGTCATATTAATATCATAGGGGCTAAATGGATCTTTAAAAATAAACTTGATGAATATGGTTTTGTGATGAGAAATAAAGTTAGATTTGTTGCACAAGGATACACTCAAGTTAAAGGAATTGATTTTGATGAGACTTTCGCACCTATTGCTAGACTTGAGTCTATTCGACTTCTTTTTGCTCTTGCATGTCACTTTAAATTCAAATTGTTTTAAATGGATGTTAAAAGTGCTTTTCTAAAATAGTATTTTGCAGGAAGAAGTTTATGTAGAACAACCAAAAGGTTTTATTGATCCATATTATCCTAATTTTATTTTTCATCTTAAAAATACTCTTTATGGTTTAAAGCAAGCACCTAAAGCATGGTATGAGGAGTTGACTTCTTATCTATTGCACAAGGGCTTTAGAAGAGGATGAGCTGATAAAACATTGTTTATTTTTAGGAAAGGAAAAGATTTTCTTGTTACTTAAATATATGTGGATGATATTATTTTTGGTGCTACATGTGATAACCTTATTCATAATTTTTCTAAAGATATGAGTAATACTTTTGAAATAAGTATGGTTGGTGAACTGACTTTTTTTCTAGGTCTTCAAGTGAAACAACTTGATGATGGAATTTTCATATCTCAATTAAAATATACAAAAGAACCAGTTAAGAAATTTGGTATGAAAGATTCAAAGCATGTTCAAACTCCTATGAGTACTTCTTCCAAATTGGATAGAGACTCTGATCCTAACAAGGTTGATCATTTCTTGTATAGGAGTATGATTGGTAGCTTGTTGTATTTGGCAGCAATTAGGCCAGATATTTCATTTAGTGTAGGTGTTTGTGCTAGGTATTAAGCTGATCCTATAGAACAACACATTCTTGCAGCCAAACATATTATTCATTATGTCAATAGTACATTGAATTATGGATTGCGTTATTCTTCTAAACCTAATTCTGAGATTGCAGGTTATACTGATATTGATTGGGATGGTAACAAGGATGATAAAAAGAGTATTTCAGGTGGTTGTTTTTATGTTGGTACTAATCTTGTTTTATGGTACAGCAAGAAGCAAAATTGCATACCTTTATAATCTTGTGAGGCTGAATACATTGCTGCTGGAAATTGTTGCACACAATTACTTTGGATGAAACAGAGGCTTCTAGATTATGGAGTTGATCAAGGTACTATTGCTATCTTTTGTGATAATACTAATACAATTAATATTTTAAAGAATCCAGTTTTGCATTCTAGGACTAAGCACATTGAAGTTTGACATCACTTTCTTAGGGAACTTGTTGAACAAAATGTCGTGTCTTTGAAAAAAGTGCATACTGATCAGAATTTGGCTGATATTCTCACTAAACCATTAGATACTCCTAAGTTTTCTCATTTTAGGAAATCTATTAGTGTCTGTTGTCTTGATTAGATGCATTGCAAGGACATAGTCTAGAAAGGATTTTCATACATATCTTGAGTGTCTAGATTATATTTTTGGGAAGTTAAGCAAACCATATTGATTGAGTATGTTGAACATAGGAGTTTAATGATACATGGATTATCTGTGGAAAATATATTATGGCTATGATTTGATGAAAATTGGTTTTGCTTACTTATTTCGTATAGTAAATGAATCATTAATAGTATATTTACTTGTGTTTGATGTCATTATTCTGCTGAAAAATAATGTTGATATGATTGATCGTTATCTTGGAATTTAAACTTACTTTATGTATTTTAGACCAAAAGAGTGAAAAGAAAAGAAAAGATTGAAAAATAGCTTGGAATGAAAAGTTTTAGAAAAAGAATAAAAAATTTGCTATTTTGAAAGAAAAAAGGTGAGATGGAAAAAGTTACCTTTGGGATTTGTCCAAAAGCTATCTTGACTCAAAACAGATAGAAATAAAGGAAAGAGTTGGCTGCCCATAAGCGTGAAAGCCACCAATGTGCAAAAAGAAAAATGGAGCACAAAGAGAGAAATAAAAAATATATATTTCTTTTGCACATGTTGATTGTTTGATTTGATTTCTAAGGATATGTGAAATCATTGATTTATTATCTGAAATCTAAACAATTGACAAATCATATGTTTTTGGAACTTGGTGGTGATTTTACTACTCTTACTAAGTTTATAGAACTTAAATGAATTGATCTTGGTTATTTGTGTTGAAACATATAATCTTGTGGAGTCTACATTCTCATTGATTTTAATTTACAAGATTTATATGGTTGGTTGCTTCCTACTTCTAGGAT